CTTTGTACTTTAGTCTATGCAAAAATAGTTCAAACATTGAAAAACAATTAAAAATTTCACGCACCAACGCATGAAAGCTGAATTCGAAACCTTGAAGGGTGAATATTTTTACCCCGAGTTAATAGTTGAGCCACCAAAATTTTCACGAGACCGTAGGTGATACTCAAGAGCGCGGGAACGCTGAATTTGAATAGGCAAGGTTGAGCGTGGGCAGGGGGTCATTATCCTAAAATTTCAGCCTCCTATACTCTGTGGTTCCCAAGATATTAATTTGCCCGTAAAAAACTTTCACGGGGCCATAGGTGTTACCCGCGGGCACGGGGAAGCTGAATTTAAATTTGGGGGGTCAGACGTGGGTGGGGAACGTTCCCCTAAATTTTCAGCTTCCTAGTTTTTGTGGTTCTAGAGTTGAAAGTTGCGGACAAGTTGCTGCGGACACACACATACATACAAACACGCATACAGACAACCCCGTGACAATATGTACTGCTGTTACGCAGCACAAAACGCATAAGAATGACATATGTTAAGTAAAGGTGTCATTTTGAAGCATGAACTGTAACCATGTTGACATTGAGGTTCTGCATAGTTTTGTCGAAAAATGCCCTGGTTTGAATATTTTTTGCTGCAGCAATAGAGTAAAAAGTTAAAAAAAAAAAATCGGGTATATTAGCAACGGATGAAAGAAGACAAGGAGTAAAAAAGGTAGGAGATGAGAATTACAAAATTTGTAAATTATAAGGATTTTTTTAATGGTAAGAAATTTTTTGGTGCATTGATTTGTATACATTTCTTACCGTTACCACAATTGGACCTCATCAGTACGACGACTGTGGTAATTCAACTCAGTGATTTAGGTTTTTTTTTTTGCAGAAATTTAGCGTTGGGATTCCGTCTACTCGTGACGACGAGAATACTGGAAGCTCAAATCAAACATTTGCAACTTCTCAAATGCGGGCATCAGTGGCCGGAAGCATACAGTTCTACGTGCAGCTGCTATGGGGCGAGGAGGCGCAACGCCGTCATTTGAAAAGGTGCCAAGAAGGCATAAACGAAGTTTTAAAAAAGAAATTTTAAAAGATACAAACATTTTAAAGAATCCTGATCATCGGGATTTTTTTAGCTCATCTAAGAATCTACTATGATTGACGATCCGATGCCCAATCCGATGAAGGCTCCTTAAAATCCCTTCCGGGATT